AGGGAAGGACACTACATACTCATCAATGGAAAAATCCACTGAGAGGACATTTCAATTTTTAATATCTATGCCTCAAATGCAAGGACACCCATGTTTGTAAAGGAAATACTACTAAAACTTAAGTTACACATTGACCCTTGTACATTGACCCTTCAATACCACATTCTCACTAATGGACATTTCATTCTTAAAAATCTAAACAGACAAATAATGGAGCTAACAGATGTTATGACTCAAATGGACCTAACAGATATCTATAGAACATTTCACCTAACCTTAAGAAAATATACTTTCTTTTTAGCACCTTACAGAACTTTCTCCAAAATTGAACACATACTGGGATACAAAGCAAACCTCAACGGATACAAGAAAATTGAAATTCTACCAGGCCACTATGAATTAAAGCTGGATATCAACAATGACAGAAGAAAAAAAGAGAAAAGAAAAAAGAAAACCCACATACTCATGGAAATGGAACAAATTTCTTCTGAATGAAAAATGGGTCAAGAAAGAACTTAAAAACTTTCTAGAATTCAATGAAAATGAATAAAAAACATACTCAAACTTATGGAATATAATGAAGACTGTTCTAAACGGCACTAAATGACTACATTAAAATATGGAGAGATCTCATACTAACAACAGCACATCTGAAAGCTTGAGAACAAAAAAAAAAAAACCCAAAAAAGTATAAAAAAAATCAATAAATAGTACTTATTGTATTGAATAATAAATAACATTTATTATTATATAATCTAAAGCCTTATCAAAATTAACTAAGAAGTGGAGATGGTAGATCAAAATTAACAAAATTAGAGATGAAAGGGTGAATATAACAACAGACACCAAGGAAATCCAGATAAAAATAAAGACATACTTTAAAAAACCTATCCTCCACCAAACTGGAAAAACTAAAAGAAATGGATAAATTCCTCAATACACACCACTTACAAAAGTTAAATCACAATCATATAAGCAATTTAAACAGACCTATAACTCCTAGTGAAATAAAAACAGTCATTAAAATCTCCCCAACATTAAGTCCAGGGCCAGGCATTTAGCATAGAATTATACCAGACTTTCAAAGAAGAGTCAATGCCAATATTCCTCGAATAGTCCTTAAAACAGAAACAGAAGGAACATTGTCCAACCCATTTTACATGGTCACAATTACCCTAATACCCAAACCATATAGAGACCAAAGAGAACTACAAACCAAATTCCCTAATGAGCATACATGCAAAAATGCTTACAAACTGAATCTAAGAAAACATTAAAAAGATCATTCACCATGATTGAATCATCCCAGGGACTTAGGGATGGCTCAACACATGTAAATAGATAAATATAATCCAATATAAATATAAACAAACTGAGAGACAAAAACTATATGATCATTCTCATTAGATGCAGAAAAGGCTTTTGACAAAATCCAGCACAGCTTCATGATAAAAATCCTGAAGAGACAAGGGATACAGGGGTATACCTAAAGATAATAAAGGCAGTTTACAGCAAGCCAATATCAATTTAAATGGACAGAAAAACTAAAGCAACTCCATGCAAATCAGAAGAAAACAAGGTTGTTCACTCTCCTATTCAATATATTACTTGAAGTCTTAGCTACGACAATAAAACAACCATAGGAAATAAAAGGGATACAAATTGAAGAGGAATAAGTCAAAGTATCTTTATTTACAGATGATATGGTAGTATATATAAGTGACCCTAACAATTCCACTGGGAAACTCCTACAGGAGATAAACACCTTCAGTAAAGTAGCTAAATAAAAAAATTCATAAATATATACAAATGACAAATGATCCATGGAAGAAATCAGAGAGACAACACCTTTCACAATAGACTCAAATAATATAAAATACCTTGGGATATCTCTAATCAAGCAATTCACTTATACAATAAAAACTTGAAGTCATTGAAGAAAGAAATTAAAGAAGATATCAGAACATGGGAAGTTCTCCCATGCTCATGGATAAGTATGATTAATATATAATATAATATTATTATGATGAATATATAATATAAAAAATCCTGCTAAAAATCAATCACCATTAAAATCACAACACAATTATACACAGACCTTAAAAGGACAATTTTCAGGTCCATAAGGAAATACAAAAAAAAAAAAAAAAAAAAAAAAAAAAAGACAGCTAAAAGAATTGCAGGAGTTATGAGTATGTCCACTTTCAAGCTATATTATAAAGCTATAGAAAAAAAAAACAGTAACAAAAAGTAGAAATAGCACATTGGCCCCCAAACAGACATGTTGATCAAGGGTATCAAACTGAGGACCCAGAAAGAAATCTACCCACCTATGGATACTTGATTTTCAACAAATGGTGCTGCTCAAAATGGATGGCTGATTTATAAGAATACAAATGAATCTATACTTATCATTCTGTAGAAAACTCATCTCCAAATGAACTTCAATGTAAAACCAGATACACCAAGCCTGGCAGAAAGAAGGTGGAGAATATCCTTAAACTCATTAACTCATTGGTGCAAGAATAGAGTTTCTGAACAGAAAACCATTAGCACCGACACTAAGATCAAGAATTAACAAATGGGACATCACAAAACTGGAAAGCTTTTACATATCAAAGGACAATGTCACTTGAACTATACATCTGATATCTACAATATACAAAGAACTCAAGAATCTAAACATCAAGAAAACAAATAGCCTAACTTAAAATGGGGTATAGATCTAAATAGAGAATTCTCAAAGAGGAAACTCAAAGTCTGAGAAGTAATTAAAAGAAATGTTCAACAACCTTGGTTTTTAGACTCTAACTTATACCTGTCAGAATGGCTAAGGTCAACAAAACAAGTGACAGCTCATGCTGTTAAAGACGTGGAGTTAGAGGAACATTGTTGGTGGGAGTGCAAAGTTGTACAGTCACTGTGGAAATCAGAGCGATGGTTCACTAGGGTAAAGGTTAACAACTGAACTGTCACTTATACCTGCTTGGAGAGAGAAAATCACTTTTCTCCAATGAAGTGACACTGGGTATATCAACAACTTCTTGGTAGGCCTCATATTCAGGAATGGTTGACCAACATATAATGGACTCCACAGTTTGTGTGTGTGGGGGGTGTATGCATTTATTTTGTTGCAGTTAGGCATTTTTCTTTTGAGGTGGTGTTTAAGATTGTTTACTTGATTGGGGGAGGTGGTTGTTTGCATTGAGTTTTTGTTTATTTGATAAAGACCCTAAAGTTTTGTGTGGGAAGGGATGAAAATAGGTCTAAAAGGACTTGTGGTAAAGGGAGAATACAATCAACGTCTATTTAAATTTGAAATTTGTTTTGAATGATAAAAAAATATGAAAAAGAAATTTAGTTGGAAAAGTTCGATAGTTAATTCCAACACTCTGAAGGTAAAGGCAAGAATATCCATGAGTTAGAGGCAAGCCTGGGATACCCTTTTTCAAAAACCAAAACAAGCAACAGCAAAAGTCCAAATTTTTGCTTGGAAAAAAGTAGAGTTTGAGAAAAAGCTCAGTAGACCAGTGGGCAGATTGGACCTTTCACTCAAGAGGTGGTCTCCAGTGGTTCCCTGAACAGTGTTTACAGTGGAGGATAGAATGCATGCAAACACATGAATGCTGAAAAGCAAGGTCATCCACACACTTGATAGGACCCATCCTCAATAATAATTAATCTTTAATGAATTGGTTTACATTTCTAGAGAAACTTAGAAGAATACAGGCAAGGTACAATGAAGAATCACTCATATTTCAGATTTGACCTTGGATGTTGAACTTTTTTGAAAAGGTAGGGAAAAGGAGCCCACACTATAACCTCAAAATACCTCTTTTCTTCTCTGGGAGTGGGGGTAGGGTGGGCATTAGGGTGGGGGCAGCATCCAAGTTTCAGAAGTTACAGAGGTGTCTGCTAATGAGAAGGCTCAGGGGCTTCTGCAAGGGTTCTCCTCGGACATTTTTAAAATAAGAACTATATACAAAATGGGCTCCTAGAGAAGTCACCTGTATTTCACCAAAGAAACAAGAGAAATTTAAGAACAACAAAATAATAGCAGACATCATAGTGGCAATAATTTTTTAAAAACCCCGTTAGACAAAGGTTTCAACAAGGATGGCAAACACATTAGCATTTGGTAATAGAACACAACTTCTTTGTACATTTTAAGCATTGGGGAGTTTTCATTTATAAAAGTAAAACCTTTTTTATATATTCAACTAAATGATTCTATATGACATTAAAACTCAGTTGAGCAAAAAGAGTGACAGTATCTAAGCCTACATTAAAAGCAAGTTAACCCAATCCAGAGACTTTATTGGAAAGAGTGAGGTACTGCTGTTTATACACACATGGGGTATGGGTTCCCATCCACTGATTTTCCTTCTATAAGCTCAACATCTTGCAATAATTACTGATAACAAAGCAGAGGTCAGACAATAGAAAGGACAACATCTGTGAAAACTGAGTTTATAATAACTTTTCACAAAATGTAACTTCATTCAAACTGCACTTTGACCTGGGTGAAATAAATGTAAGAGCTCAGCTACAAAGTACATAGCTACTTAGGTCTCAACAAATTCATCTGATAGGGCAGGAGCAATGCACATGGACTTCTAGTGTTCATCTGGAATTTTCATCTACTAAAAAAAAAGGACAAATATACACACATTATCTGCAATAGGCATTATGATATATGTCTACATATAATCCTCAATAGCTATACTACTATATAACTAAATCTCTGTCTGCGTGTCACTGGATATTATCCACCATAGGAAAGTCAATCCAGCAGTGCTTCCTGAAGCTCAAGTAGTAAGTAGTTATTTGATGTAGAAATATCAAATAAAAATAATTCCAATTTCAAAGCCAACCACATATTCTGAAATCATATAACACACACACACACACACACACGTATAATTTTTCTATCATTGGGCCTCAGTTGGTAAGGGAAAATGGAGTATGAAAGGACAATTATTAGATGTAAGCACACATACCTGGATGAGATAGTGAGAACACAAATTGAGAAGCTCCAACAGCTGTAGGTGACTGCCAGCTGCTAACACATCCTGGATCACTCCTGGCTCCAACAAAATCTGTTTTTGTTTTGAGAGGCAGAGAGAGAGAGAGAGAGAGAGAGAGAGAGAGAGAGAGAGAGAGAGAGAGAGAGAGAGAGAGAGAGAGATCAGCTACATTGAAAATGGGACATGGTATTGCTTAATATATTAATGCACCATACTGTATTTAAACTGCTACACAACTTATTTGAACTAAAACCATGGCCATGGAAGTCAGTTCCTTTTTTGTTCTGTATCACAGCATGGCCCCCTCTCAAACAGGAGAATTCTTTGATCTTTACATAGACGAACAGCTTTTCCTACATCCAACAGTCTGCTTAGTTTCTTCATTTTTGAAAGAAAATATTAACATTTTCAAAGAAGACAGTAGCCTCTTAACATTCATTTTGTAACATGGTCACTAAATGAACATTAAATCAGTTCTAATTTTTTCAGAGTGTATTTCAGACTCTTCAGTTCATCACAGTTTACTGAGCAGGTGTTTTAGGACAGGGCACTTGAATCTCCTCTGGCTACAGGAAGTGGGCAGGTACTATGAGAGTGGGTGGGTTTTATGAGAGTGGGTGGGTTTTATGAGAGTGGGCGGGTATAGTGAGAATGGGTGGGCATTATATATGTATTACTCTACTTATAAGCCCGGCACAAACACAAACTTTTATCTTCATTTTTAAGTTTTGTTTTTAGTGTCCACTTTATATAAAATGCACCTATCATTTTTCATGAAACAGCAGTGAGCCTCACAAGGAAAGGGAACGGCTCAAGGATCTGGAGACACCAATTATCCACTCGTTTCTGGTTAAGCCCAACCATTTGACTGCTGCTATCAGCCCACTGAAAAATACCAGAAAAAGACACACCATGATGGGTAAATTCACTTCAATGTGTGATTGAGAGCTACAAACAGGCCCTTAGTGCGGTCACAGCCGTCATCCTTAGCCCAGTCATTCACAGTCTAGCCATTGGACATCTATGTCTTCAAACCCACTGGCAATTCACTGCCATGCCCACATGGGAGCAGTTAGGTGAGTGTACTCTTTCTCCAGATGAGGCCATCCATCTGTTGTCTCTGGATCAACATTTTCCTTCACTCCTCAAACCATCCTCATCCCCAGTCTCTATGGTTTTGGAAATGACCATACTTGCCCTAAAGACCTTTCTCTCCTCTGCTGACTCTGTAATCCGGTGGCTTTAATATCATTTATATGCAGATAGCACTCCAATCTGTTTCTGTCTCCATACCCCAGTTCCTCACATACTACTATGGGAAATGGATGAAGTCCTGAGTGAATGTGCATTGTTGACATGGGTAGGGCCATGTCAAAGACACCAATATTTCAAATCAATGGGAGAGGCAAAGCCTTCCCCAGGTGAGGTTCTGAGACATGGCAAAGACTTCATTAGCTAATGAATGATTGACTAGTGTGTGCAAGAACTACCAGCCACAGCTTCCTCCTCTGGGATGACTGCAGCCTGAGCCTGATCCCTCCCCTACATGGATGCCTACCAGAGATCAGCTAACACTGCCTCCTAGTTCTGCTATATAAAAGAAATCTGCCTCTTTGATTCATATTATCAACCAAATCAGTCCTCTCTACATGGATCATCCTTCCTCAACATATGCGCTTGGTTTTTTTCCATCCCATCTTCTACTCTTCTGCCTAAACTGAGGTTCCGGCCTATTGCCAAAGTTGGTACCTTCTACCAGAGTGAGGACAGCCCACTGTACCCCACCTTTTCCTTAAAAGTGTTAATGTGTCAGCCCTTTCTTCATTCTCTTGCTGTCCTAGTTAGGTCAATCCCTCAAGCTGGGTAGAGCCTGGCATCCATCTACCATTTCAGTATGTCCTCTTGTCTGTCTAGAGGGCAGTTCAAACCCCAAGCATTCCACAGACTGGACTTTTAATCTTTTTACTACTTGCCACCCCACTCCTTTTATAATCCTGCCATCTCAGCAAATAATATGGCAGTTATTTAGAAAAATCCCACAGTCACTCTTTTTTTTAATAATTGTTTGATAATTTTATACACATATATAATGTTCCCAGGTCATACCAACCACCCAGCTCTCTCACCACATTCCCCCACCCTGCCCAACCCCCATCCTCCAGACAAGTCCCCTTCTCACAATCAAGTCATTTTCTTTTGTTCTTTTTGTTGTTAGCTGTGTGAACTACTGTGCAGGCAGAGCTGCCTGCACAGGAATGGGTGTTGAGCATTCCACCAAAGCATGTGTAAACTCATCAGATGAGGTAGCTATCAACTGCCAGTAGCTCTCTGGGGAGGATGCTGGACCCATTAGTTCCTCTCTTATCCATGAGCTGAATATTGGCATTAACCTGGTATTTGTTTGTTTGTTTGTTTGTTTTTGCCCTGTGCAGGAAACCTAGGCTGCTATGAGTTCATGGGGACAGCATCCGGCTTTTACATACTTTCTGCCCTGTTTTCCATGATGTTCCTTGAATATGGAGGGACATGGATGTTCTATGAGAGCTGAGCACTTGTCACTCACTCACATTCTTATTACTGTGACCACCATGAGTCTGCATTACCTGTTTCCTTTGAAGACATGCTGCTCTAACCCTGGTGGAGGGCAGCACAACTCAGAACCTTCCTGGAAGCCTCTTATTTTCCTCCTACCTCATATCCCACCTAGGAACCTTCCTGTTGCTGGTTTTCTTGACCTGCCAGGTCCCACCACCACTTCCACCCTAAATGAACACACAGAGACTATATTAATTATAAAAATTTTGGTCAAATGGCGAGGGCTTCTTATTGGCTAGCTCTGTCTTAGTTATTAATCCATTTCTATTAATCTATGTATTTCCACTTGGTCTTGGCTTACCAGAGAATGCCCAAAACTGCTACTCCTTTGTGGTCTACATGGTGATTGACTTTGGCGGGCTCTCTCTGCCTACCTTTCCCAGAATTCTCCTCATCTCCTAGTCCAGCCTATCTTCCTGCCTCATTGGCCAAACAGTGTTTTATTCATTAACCAATATGAGAGACAGAAGGTCATCCCCCATCACCCTCCTGTAGGCTCTATCATCAATGAACGGCTCCAGAGGCTAAACAGTCATGGTCACTACCTCCCATTGTTATCAGTCTAGCCAAAGGTACAGACAACTCCTGCCTCCCAACTTCTGACACTGCCTTCCCCCTTGCCTCTCATCACTACCTTTTAAAAATATTATCAACCAAATCAATCCTCTCTGCCTGGACCACTCTTCCTCAAGATATCAGCTTGTTCCATCCACCCCACCCTTTAGACTTCACTCAGATATCACATATGTAGTGCCCATTTAATTGGTAAAGTGATTTGCATTCTTGGAGATCACAGAGAAGTTGTCTCTGGACGTGTGGCTGTCCCCATGCCATTCCAAAGCTAAGCAAATTTGCTGAAAAGTGTCTTCCAAGATGTTTTGTCTAGGTATGGCTGTCCCACTCCCCAACTCTGTGACAAGGAAAGAATATAACAGAAAATTGGGACAGTAAAATTGTTGTGTTCCTGAAAACAGCTAGAGGGTGGGCTGTTTCCAATAAATATGACTACTTCTTATCCCAGAACATAAGCATGCCTACAGTGGGGGGGGGGGGGGAAAGATGCTGGAAGTCTGGCTACCCATGGGAAGCTGCTACGTAAAGGGAAAGTTCAATGTGGGTACTCCAGCTGACTGCCACAACCTCCCAGTTGATTTCTGCTGGATGTTCCCAGCATCCAATCAGATGATGCTATCTCTATTCATTGTTATTTGTTTTTTACTTAGAAGTCTTACCTAAGGAGACACTCCACTCTGCCAAGGACTCTCTTGATTGGGAACTCCAGTTGGCTGCTTTAAATGGGTCCCTTAGACTACTTTCGTTGGAAGTTGTGAGCACCCAATTTCATGATTGCTACTTATACATTGGCTTGCTATCCACTTAACAAACTCACTCATTCAAAGTGGGAGTATGGCTAATATTTAGTGTATAATGATCAACACTGTCCGAGAGGCACTTCCTGATCATCCTATGTGAAACAGTACATCACTCCAAAATACCTATTATATATAATCTTTGCTGTATTCTCCATAACACTTACTGTCTTTTGACATATTGCACATTTATTTGGTCGGTTTCTGTTTTTTCTACACATGAAAATACAAGTTCCAGGAGGGAAGCACTGTGTCTTGCTCACATCCGCAGCACATAAGAACAGTGCCCAGGCACGTAGTTGTCACTCTGCACTGGGGTGCTTATTTAATTAAAAATTTGGACAACTAATTGATCCCTACACAATGCTTGTTTTGAAACTTATTTTGGCAATTAATCTGACTCAGGAAAAGGAGGAAAAGAGCTGTAACTTATATTTCTGTGCCATTGAAGTAAAGATGCAAAAAAAGTTAAGCACAGGGGTCAAAAATGCTAATATTCATCTTGTTGTGGAAATTTTTAACAGCTCTTTTCCCTTTTAGTCGGAAGAGATATTTAAATTTCTGCAACTCCTCAAGGAAGGGGCTGTGACTGACATGAGGAAATGAGTACACCTCCCATTAGAGGAGCAGGAATGGCGAACAGACTAGAAGAGACACAGCCTAAGGCAGAGCACAGGGATGAGATGGATTAGAAGGCTAGTTTTAGCCTTTCAACCCTGTCAGTTGCATTCACTTCACACAAGTGGCATTAATGATAACCTCCAAGGTGTGGTAATGCCAAACACAAAGACAGATATCACAGGGAGACCACATGAATATTCTGTAGCCTGTGTAACACATCCAATGGGCTCACTGTGAGAAACCCGAATACCAGAAACCCATACTGGGATTGTTTTTGCCATTGTTTTTGTTTGTTTTGTCTTAACTTTTGTTCTGTATTCTTGCTTCCTGCTCTCATTATAAGATTATCTAAATGTAATTTTTGCATAGGAAAATTCCTAAGTCCTTTGAAAGCTTTGCAGAGAAAAATGGCCAGGACAGCTGTTAATAGAAACAACCGGCATGTGTAAGCATCACTGGTCACAGCCTGCACTGCTACATTTGTCG